CTGCCGCAAGCGAATGACAAAGCTTTTTTCGCATTACATGATACAGCATTATGAAATTCTCATAAAATTTATTTAACCCTTTCGCTCCAGCCTTTGTACAAGCTTTACAAAATATATGTACATACATATTCATCACACTTCGTCTACTTCTGCCAGCTTCACGCTAACGTCATGACAGCTGCTTATTTGTCAAATTTCTTCAGCTACATATTTATTGCTACTCCCTGGCTTTGATTACAAGTACTATGTATAGTATAAGTAAGTATTTGAATAGAGTTTTCGATAGTTTTTTTTTTAATGGTTTTTCTTGTAGTTATTGCATACGATTTCACATTTTGGCTCCACTGATTGTGTATCCGTTTTGTATAACTTATTTATTCTTAGGCTGCGTTTTTTAAAGAAAGTTAAATTTTTTTTGTGTTTTAATTTTGTAATTCTATGTTTAAGAAATTTCTTAGTTTAATTGAAGTTATGTTTGTAATCAAAAAATTGCTGGTATGTGTACTTTTACTACAGAGTATTGCGATAAATGGTGCTTAATAAAAATTTGCTATTTGAAATTGCCAAAATTTTTGTCCATTACGATTTTTAATTGATTTGTGAGTGAATTTTAATATTTTGCGCTAAATTATGGTTTTAACATTCTATATTACATTTTTTATTTACTGCTACTTTCACATTTCACAACTCTTTATTTACAAATCTCGAAGTTAGTAAACTTTTCTAAACGAAAACACTGTGCAACACAGAATAAAGTGACTGTGATAATATAGTATGAAATGCAGTAAGTGACGCTTCAATTATTGCATGCCAATTTCTGTCCGATTTCTCATTGAAGTGAGTACGCTTTTAGCTTCAATATCTTAGTAGCAGTGTGCTTAGGTGAGGTTTTTTCAGCTGCTCTCGTCCGGCATCTGGAAGCAGGATTACTTAATTGGTGCAATGCGATAACAAAATAGAAGCTTCCCGAGATATTTTGCTTCCTAAAGAGAAATCAATTCTTTGTTTTTATGCGTAAATCAGACACTCAAGACAGTAGTGATGGAGAATGCAGAGCTAGAACGAGTGAAATGCTCCAATAGGTAATCTTCTACTCTCTTCCTCTATATTGAAAAAAAGGGAAAAAGGCCTTTTCAAGAAAAAGACGAGAGAGGCATAGAGACGCGAATGAGAAGAGCCTTAAATGCTGGCAGGCAGGACTGCGGCTCGAAAATTCGGTTAGAAGATAAGGCATCAATCAAATCGTTTTACGACCTGGTAACAGATGTCCAGAGCTGAGATATGGAGGGAACACGCGTTTGAATGACGACACAGGTGGCGCGCTTGATGAGGGAGAACCCGAACCAATGTATTTGGATGCAGCTTACGTCCCCCTACTCGACCAAGGTGCGGGGAGAATAGCAGTAAGGCGGCTTAAAAACAACAAGGCCCCGAACCCGCCGGTTTACCGGTTGAGCTGTTCACAGCCGGTGGCGAAGAGTTGGTGCGGGGCATGTACCAACTTTTAAGCAGAATTAGGTCTGATGAAGACATGCCCGAAGACTGCAATCTAAATGTACTTTGTCCAATCCACAAGAAGCGAGATCCCGCCGTTTGCGTCAAATATCCCGAGATAAGCCTTCTTAATATAAGTCCTGTCGGCGATTCTGTGTGAAAGACTTATCAGCGTGGCTCCAGACCTGGTAAGTTCACCATGGACCAGATTTTTACCGCACGCCAAATCCTGGAGAAGGCACTAGATAAGAAAATTAATACACATCATCTTTTTGTCGACTTCAAATCTGATTTTGAGAGCACGAATAGAAGTTGCTTGCACAATGCCATGTCTAAATTTGGGATCCCCGCAAAACTAATATGGCTATATAGAGTGACGTTGAACACAACCTTCAGCTCTGTCCGCGCCGTTTGATACCAAACGAGGTTTTAGACAGGGCGATTCACTCTCGTGCGAATTTTTCAATCTGATGCTGGATAGCGTAACAATAGCTGCCAAACTGAGTCCCAGCGGAACACTATATATATATATATATATATCGACATCGTCGGTCTGAAACAAAGGGATGTTAGCGCAGCAATTGCCAATTTAGAAAAGGAAGCTAAAGAGGTTGGTCAAGCGGCGAATAAAGACACGACAATGTACCTCCTGGCAGTATATAAAGAATCCACGCGTTTTGGGACATACGTCTCTGCTGGCAGCTATAGCTTTGAAGAAGGAAGAAAAACTTTGTCTACCTACGAGCCAGCGTAACGTCAGATTGGAGATCAAGAAAAGCACAACTCTTGCCAAAAGGTGCTACTTTGAGCTCGGTAGGCAATTGAAAAGCAAAGCCCTCTCTCGACGAACGGAAATTACGCTCTAACGTGGACAATGTCGAACAAAGATGAGAAGACTTTGAGTGCTTTCAGGAGAATTATTCTACGAAAGATCTACGGCTCCGTACGCGTGGACGACGGGCAAAGGAGAAGATGTAATGACGAACTCTATGAGCTTTGTAACGACAAGGACATCGTTAAGCACATAAAAATACAGCGATTGCGCTGGCTTGGACATTTTGTACACATGGATGACGAAGATCCGGTAAAAATATCCTTCGACTCCTCACCCATGGGTGGACAATGAAAGCAAAGGCGCGCACGAACGAAATTGAAGGACCAAATGCAGAAGGACCTGTCTGCACTCGGGATGAGCAACTGGTGCAAATTTGCACAAGAGAGATGCAATTGGAGAAGCTTTTTGGTCTCGGCCCAAACCGACAAACGGTTGTGGTGCCAAATATGAAGAACAAGAAGAAGAAGAATTATCTATATGGCAAATTCCCTGATAACCGAATCATGAGTTACGAAAAATGTTGAGACGCTCACAGATTTCACTTTAACGTTTGAAATCGGCTCTCTTTCGAGTGCTTTGTTTACTTACTGACAAGTAATTACGCAACATATTAAGCTAAGCATGTATGTGTGTATATGTACATACTTTTGCAATTTATAATTTTCAAACTATTCTCCGCAGTAAATCAGGACCTCCGGTCGTTAAAGTATTTGCTATTAATTATTTAACTACTCGTATTTAAATGCTAATAAAGTGATATCCTTAAACTGTTAAAATGTCAATGCGATAGGTAATGTATGTGTGGGTAAAACTTTTTGAATTTTCGCGTGCTTATAAATTTGTGGGAATTATATGTAAATAAGTGAATGCATACAATTTAATATTGCACATACTTATGTACATATATACATACATATATAGCAAATATATTAAAGTTATCATTTTTTTTTGTGGCATATGTATCAACGTGTTATAATTATAAATTTCTGATACATTTAAGACAGCTTATAACTGTAATAAATTTTCGCACTTAACTGATAATTTTTTTTTTAAATTACAAACTGTACGAATTTACGCTAATCGAGCAAACTTAACGCCATTTCAGCAACATTTACATATTTCAACTCCCTAAGGCTACTTATTCATTTATACTTATTGTATATGTACTAGAAATTGCTATATAATCGTATTTACCTAGGCGAGTGGATACGTACCACATACAAATACAGTGTACACAAAAAGTATAAGTACACTTGTATGTCGCTTCTAAGTGTCATTAAAATTCGCTATTGTTTTTAGCTTGATGCCTGCTTTAATTTTTCAATCGAACTATATTTCAGTTATTTTAGAGCAATTGCTTTTGTCGAATCGGCGCTTTTTCTTCCATTGATTCCTGTTTAACCTTATAGATCATTTTAGTATTTTTCAAGATCAGCGCTAACATCTGCCTATCCTTTTTTCTCTAATTAACGGCCAACTCGAAATAAATTCAAGAATAGTGAAGATCCTTCCAAAGTCTTAAATAGCTCATCATCAATCTGTAGTGGCCACTGGAAGAAAGCAGTACCACAGCCGTAGCCACGCGTCAGGGATGCAAGTTATTTTAGCCGAAAATTCACACTGCCGCCCTGGGTGCGCGAAAACTACGAACTTCAACGTTTTGTTTCACCCGCGACGAAGGTGGGGTGGTCACAAAACTATTCTCCCCAATGAAATAAGCAGCTGGATTTTAAAGTATTTGGCAAAAGGCAAAACCAAATAAAGTTACCATCTCGTTTCTGAATACGGTAGTACCACTAGCGAAGCCATGGGAACCATATAAATTAAGAGCTTTCGAAATGGTCAGTTGCGCTACACAAACTCGACGAAAAATCTCACTTGCACCTCAGTGAATAACCTGAGTAGTCATCACTGATCGATGACATTTCGAGATCAACTTATTTTCCGGTGCTTTTAAATGCCTTAGCGCGATACTCCCTCCTCCACTAGAAGGCATTTCTCTAACCTCATTCGCCGAAGGCTAGTTGTTTTTGGCGACGGGAAACGTTATCTCTCATAATTATACCGCTTCATCACTGATCTAAATACTTTTCAAGACGATAGAGTCAAGCTTAATAGATCAGTGAAAGAAGAATACCCTCTCTGTCGATATCGTTAATTTAACTCGATTTATTCGACAACACAGTACAATAAAAACTATTGAGGGATGCCTTCAGCTTGCGTGGGAACACCACATGCACGAAGAAGTCCCTATTCAAGGAATCCCTATTGGTTGTTACCCTAAAGATCCCGCCAATAGGCACTTGTTCGTAGTCAAGTCAATTATAAGGCACCTCAGAACATTACACAAAACGCATCTTTACGACCAGTTTTAGCAGTTCCTATGACTTCAGCTGATTAAGTTCGATTACAGACAGTCGATAAAGGCTGTTCATAGGTAGACAATTCGCACCTTCCTCAACTCTCATCCTATAAATGCCGTAATCGGAATGGAAACGTAAGCTATCACAGACCGACAAGACAAGCTCAAGTAGCACCGGCGTATCCAAGTTACTTTAGCAAAACTCCTTTGCGGATATTGACGATAACATTCCTAACATACATCTATACTTTAAATATTCATCTAAGCTATTAAGATGAATATCCAAAGTATAGATGTATGTTAGGAATGTCAATAAACTAAAGGACCACAGGCCATATGAGCTCCCGGTTTCGCGTGCTCTGTGAGGATTTCTTAGTTTCTGAATATCTCACAGATTTTTGGAGTATCCATTCCTTGCCTTTCGGATGACTGAAACACCAAAAAGGTATAGAGTTTAGCGAAATGTCCACTTTGGTTGTGCATTACTATTGCATGGATGATTGGTTTCATAGAACATCCTTAGACTTGGCGCTCATGAGTGTATAGTGAAAACGCGGCGACCACGAACTCAATAAAAGGACCAAAAGTGAAGAAGGACTTGTGAGTACTTAGTATGAATATTTGGCGGAACTTGGCTAAGACAAATTTTTGCTGGTTGTAGATCCTCTGGGCTCTATTCTGCAAATATTTTGTTGAAAGATACTGTAATCAAAACCAGCTAAATCAGTTAAATCATTTTATTTGGTTCGATTTCAGTATGGAGGCTAATAGCCTGTTTCCAACAAAAGCTTAACTGCTGTTAAGAGTTATGGCAAGTTTCAAGAATTTCAACATGGGGTGCTCATCAAGGTCTGTTTCTTACTTTTTGTTTTACGCTTTCGTTGCTTCTACTAATATTTATGAGCAGTTCTCTTCGAGTTGTAATGTACTGACCTACCTGAAGACGCATACTTTTTGTGCACACTGTTTTCAATTCATTTCATCCAATCGGCTCAGCAGTTAAATACTATGTTTTGAACATTCCAACATTCACAAATCACAAAGCAACATTTTTTTCAAATCAACTCTTCAATCTTAGCTCATCCGCCTAATTAATTTTATGTATATCCACTTATAAGTAAATATTTACGTTTTGATTTTTTCTTCAAGTTTACCGTAAAATCGTTTGCAAACTACATACATACATTTTTTTATTATTTCATTTGCTTTCGCTGGCCATAACGATTACCTAAATTATTTTTTCGTTTTTCGTTTTTTACATAGATGCCGTTTGAATGCCCGCTTGCGGTGATGTCGATTGCTGTGGTGAATTTTGGCTGCTCACTCCTGCCACCGCTGGTGGTATGGCTACGACGGCGTTTTGTTGCGCGGCGTTTTGTTGCGCCGTTGCCTCGGTTGTCTTCAGGAAATAAGTTATCAAATCGATGGGCAATGGGAAAACTATTGTTGAGTTCTTTTCCGCCGATATTGTATTGAGTGTCTGGCGCCGGAATGGATGGTCATTTAAATTTTACTTTAGATTGTTTTTTTCTAACTCTAAATTTACCTGTAAGTAACGCAATTGTAGCGCTGCTGGTGAACCTCCAATGACTTCAGAGGCTTCGCGTAGTGCCTTTGATGCTTTTTGCTCTCCTTCAGCGGCAATAACTTTGGCGCGTGCTTCACGAGCTGCTTCAGCTTCGGCTGCCATAGCGCGTTGCAGTTGTACTGGTAGGCGTACATCCTTACTGTAATAGGGAGAGGGCGGAAAATATGGGTTGGTATCAGAGGATGTACAATAATGAAAAAAAAAATACATGGGCATTAAAAAAAGAAAAGTTATATACATTTGAGCAGCGACCGTACCGTGGGTCTATTTTTTTTATAAAAAAGAAAGTTAATAAAATAATAAGTTATAGTTTTTTAGCACATTGAGTTGGAAAACGAGTTAGTATTTTTGCTTTTTAAGACTTAAATAAAAACAACATTTTCTTCATATTTTCGAACCCAATAATAGCCGGGGTTGTATGTTTTTATTTTTCGATTTTAAGACAGCCACGATTCACATTAGTGTACCTTCCAATTTTAAGGTTCCTAAAAAATCCTGTATAAAACACAGAAAATCCGAAACATGAGAAACACTTATAAGTGTTAAAAGTGCGAAAAAACATTATAGGAATTCCGAAAAGCTATAATATATATTACCGGAAGCACCTAAGAAGTTTCGAGCAAATCCGAAAGTTTTCGCATTTTTCCACCCATTTCCATTTTTGGACAAGTCCACGTATATGTATATTAGCAAACTGAAAAGCGTGCAGCACGCTGCTTTGATATTGAATTATAGGGACTTCAGCTCCACCTCCAGCAGGGTTCTAGAAACTCTATATATGCAAATTTTCCTATCGACCTTTATGGTACTCGAAGATACCGAAAATTCTAACGTCAAGAAAGAATGAAATTTTTTTATAAAAGCTGCTAGCTCATTAAAGTTAGTACCTAACAAAATATCGATAACAAAACTGATAAAAATGTCGGTAACAACATAGATAGTAACATCTAACAAAATATCGATAGCAAAACTGATAAAAATATCGATGACAAGCTCGATAAAATTTCCGATAACAAAATCGATAAAAATATCACAACAAAAAAAACAAAAGCGATAAATAATCGATAACTAAATCGATGAAAATATCCATAACGAAATCGATAAAAATCGACAAATAATCGATAAAAAAATCGATAAATAATCGATAAAAAGGACGAAAATAGTCGATAAAAAGATCGATAAATAATCGATAACAAAATAGGTAAATAATCGATAACAAAATCGATAAAATATCGATAACAGAATCTCTGAGGAATTCGGTAAAAATTTCGATAGCGAATTCGATAATAATATTGGTAGCAAAGTCGATTGAAAAATCAACAAAAATATCTATAATCGATTAGGAAATCGATAAAATTATCAATAACAAAATCGTTAACAAAATCGATAACAAAATCGATAACAAGATTGATAAAAATGTCGATTAATATATCGATAAAACCTGAGAATCCCGAAAATCTCTAAAATCCCAAAATAGTTCCCAGATTAAGTCACTGTGTCTCTATATTTATCCTCTTCTCTTTAATCTATAAACTTGATCTTCTTGGTCTTCCACCTAATTTTCTACGTTGGATCCCTTCATACCTCTATGATAGATCACAAAGGGTATTGTTTAAAAATACTATCTCTGACGTCATTGATGTTACTTCAGGAGTCCCTCAGGGTAGCCACCTAGGCCCGATTCTGTTCTTGCTTTTTATAAACGATATTTCTACAGATATAAAATTCTCCAAAATTTTAATGTATGCAGATGATGTAAAACTTTATAAATCGTACGTTTCAATTGAAGAAAGGTCTTTGCTACAATCAGACTTAAACAGCATGGCTTACTGGTGTAAAGTAAATCTTATGCCTCTAAATCTTAAGAAATGTAAAGTAATGT